CTGCGTAATGGCAAATTGAATTTCAATAATAATAGGCATGAAAGGGGTTAACATGTAGGGCGGGTGCTGGAGGGGCACATGGGCAGCTGGCAGATCTGGCAGGGGGCACACAAAAGAAAAAGTCTGGGAACCCCTGCTCTGGAGCAACTCCTCCTCCTCCTCCTTGCTGAACCTGCCTAAGGGCATGTTCCCCTTCCTGCCCCACCAGACGTCCCAGGGGACCGTGAGGCCGTTCTTGTCCTGTTCCTGCTAAGATAAGGGGGTCTTGCCCGAGGTGGGAGGATCTGGACGTTCCTCATGACGAATGCAATGCTGTATTTGTAGGTCCGCTCGTCAGGCAGGGGTCCACCCTCAGACTCCGAACAAGCACAAGAAGTACAGCCGCCGCTCCTGGGACATGCAGATCCGGCTGTGGAGACGGGCCTTGCATGCGTGGGACCCGCCCAGCCAGTGTCCTCTCGAGGGCCGCCAAGGACTTGAGAGGGAAGTGTCTGCCAGATGCTCAGCTCCTTCAGAGCCTTCCAGGGGGAGAGCTCGTGTGGCAGGGCGAAGGGGCAGCACCCAAGCAACATGCAGCTTGTGCCCATGCTGGGCTGTGCTGGTCTCCTTAGTGCCGCCTCAAAACACTCGCTGAGTGCAGCTGCCCTTACACGCCTGCCAGTGCTGATGGCTCAAGACGGTCAGTGAATGGGGCATTAGCATGCCCTGGCCTCCATTCATCAGGGGCCCACTGAGACTTGGCGCCTTATGATGCTGGGCAGCAGGTGTTTTGCACCTCTGGAAGGAGAGGGGCTATGCAAAGAAATCGTGCCAGGTGCAGTGTTGGGGACGTGTTCACACGTCTTGATGTGCACCACGTGCCTCCCTGCATTGTGTGGAGTACCCGGGCATCTCCCGTGCTGCTGGGGAGGGGGACAGAGCAGGGGAACAGGGGCCTTCAGTTGTTGGGTCTGATTAGAGAGCAAAGAGTGGGTGCAGTGTTCCACGTTGCCGTCCATCAGTGTTTTCTGGGGAGGAATCCTGCCTGCCTTCTTGGCTGGGGCTCGGGAGAGAGACCTTGTGTGCCCCACTGCTTGCTGCTGCTGCGTCTCTTTGGGGTCAGTGAATGGAACTGCTGTTTCCTTGCAAGACAGGGCCTGGCAGCTCTCTGCAGCGGTGGAGATGGAGACAGACCCTTTGTGTTGCCTCTCCCATCACTGGCTGGGAGCCTTGGCTTGGCCTCCCGAAAGCCTGTCCAGAGCAGCACTAGGAGAGGTAGGTGGGGGACGGAGCAAGGGAAGCAGGGGGGGATGCTGTTGGGTTGCAGGGGGTCCACCAGGTGGGAGGCAGCTGTCGTGCCTCTTTCTGCGGAGGGATGCTGGGGCTGACATGGGGGTGGGCAGGGAGAAATGGTGGAAGAGATCATTGGGGCCTGGCACCCGCCAGGGCCAGGGCCACATGTGGGGCCTGGGCGTCTGCCTCTGTCTTGGCTTGCTTTCCTCGCCCAGTGGGGCTCGTGACTCGTGCCCCCTCCCTCAGCTTGCTGCCCTGGCGGCTCCAGGCCCCTCTCCTGGCCTGGCCCCCGCGGAGGATCCCGGCTGGCTGCACCTCTGGGGAGACGCTGCTTCTGGATGGGGCTGCGTGTCCAGGGAGCGCGGAGCAC